AGTGGGAGAGGGAGAAGCAGGCTTCCTGCCGAACAGGGAGCCCAATGTGGGACTCGATCCCAGGACCCTGGGATCACGACCCGAGCCGAAGGCAGAGGCCCAATGACTGAGCCACCCAGGCGCCCAAGAAGGCATATTTTGAATACAAAAATTATCGAGTATTCCTTTTCTCTCTCTCTCCCCCCACACACATAGATCTGAACCAATATAAGCAGATTTAGCTACCTCTTAAAATGACTATATCATGATTGCTTAACAATATGAGATATGTTGACATTTCTTTTAAACTCATCATCTTAAGCACTAAAGAAAAATCAAATGAGAATTTTTGTAATTTCTATTAACGTTACCTGTTCTGAAAATCAGCAACCATGTCCCGCCTCTCTGAGATCTTGGATGAGCCATCAAGCCTCATGTAGGTATGCTTCCTATAAACCATGTATTCCTGCCAATCACAGTAAACAAACAGAAGTTGGATGCAAATTACTGTATTCTAATTCCCACAACATCTACCCACCTTCCACCTCATCCTTACTGGGGGCAAGTCATTATCCAGAATAAGAAGAAAGTAATCTCAAAAGTACAAGAACTTAACTTGTAAATGAATTTACTGCCAGTATGTGAAAATTGAGGGCATCGTAAAGACTACAGCCACCCTCAATTTTAACTTGGAAACTAATCATATTCTTGCAGATTTCAGTAGGTTTCATGAACATAAACCAACAAAGTAAAATGAAATTTCCAAATAAAAATTGCCTTTCAGTCAGCGACCAGATGTTTCTCACAGCTATGGAATATCTAGTTTTCTTTTCGTAAGTAACTTGCTCTGGTGTTTTTCTCCCCAACATATCCTTGCTGACCAATATCCTTGAATTTAAAACCCAAGTTTCCTTCTCCCAGCAGAGCATGCATCATTGTTAAGGGAAGCCTAAGCATCAGAGTGAACAGAAGACAAAGTAACTTTCCATGGCAGAGCATGTTCTGGACATCATCTCTAAGAGGAATTACAGCTTTTAAGAATGGAGAAGAAACTTCAAGAGATGCAATGGACAGAACATAACGCCATTTTTAGAAGCTACAATGCCTCTTACAGATGATGTCCAAATGAGCACTGATTTCCTCTTTCTTACCCCTGATTATATGATTACACTTCAAGAAGTCCATTTGTAGAGGAACCACTATCAAAAACTCAACACAGCTGCCTATTTATAAGGAGCACCATGAAACAATCCTATTGAAAAAGACTAGTTATTTCTACATTTGGGAGATGTCTGTGTTAATTCTCTATGGTCAAATGTTTGTTTGTTGCAATATTCTCTCATGTACCTCTTATTATACCTGGCTGGGTATTTCAGCACACGAGGTTGCTACAGCTGGGTACGGCTATACAGTGCATGTGGCAGCCTACTCTTAGAGCAAGTTAGTACCAAAACTCCTACAATGGCTTGGCAGAGGTCTCTGGCTAGGGTACCTACGAGGGGAGGCTGGTTGACAAAGTAGACAAGCTCATCGAGGCACACATCTTCATTGTGGTTTGTATGTGTTTTTACTATTTCCTTCTTTCTCAAGTGGCTCTTTAAGGGCTTTGATAATCAAAGAGGGGTAGAACATATTCAAAGAATTTCAAGTTCATATTTAGTGGTACAGCCCTATAATGAAACTGGATTAATAGCAGAAGAGTAGGGGGTGTCTTAGATAAGGAAGGATTCAGGAAAAAAAGATGAAAAATGCCAGCATGAGGATAGTCTTTAGAGGCTCACTATAGCTTGGCAGCTAATTTAATCAGGGGATGCTGCCATCCAGAACAACCAAATAACTAGATTATACACAAAGACATCCATAGGTTGGACTTCTACCACAAGGTGGGCTTTCTGCACAGGCACTCTTGCCTTCTGAACCAGAACTTCTAAACTCAGTGAGAGCACTGATGAATGAATCTTCTTGTAGATCTTACTGTTGACATCAGTTATATGTCAAGGTCAGCATGACACCAGAGATATTAATCCCAGACCATAATCAAACCAACACTGATTACACAGAGCCTGTTACTGAGGCAACAGAAGTGAATCTTTTCCATTTACTGCTTTAAGCCTTTGCTCTCCCACCCAGGGGAGCAGTGGGATTTCAGAAGGCTTTGATGAGTTTAGATCCGATTTCAGTAAATAGCTTCAAAACAAGTAAATGGACATGGAAAAAGCAGTTAAAAGCAGAATAGAGGAATGTCTATATCCTCATACCACAGAAAAACAGCTAAAAGATAAAGGCAGAGATGAAAGAGCAATTCAGTATTTCCTTCATTCAAAAATTCTGGCTATACCAAAGCTCTTCTAGATGTGTCTCTAAAATTCTGGGTGTTTTAGAAAAGATACTTAATTTAATCCGGAAAGAAATGCCTCATTTCTTTCAAATGCTAATTTCAAGACGTATGCCCACTTCTATGCTTAGTTCAGCTTTCCTATGATCTAAAAAATCTAAAAATTCAGAATAAAATCGAATTCTATCTTGTTAAAAGGCATTTTTATCAAAAAGAATTTGTGTCAAAACACAAATTCTAACAATAAATGACAAGTTATAGCACTGTGAATATTTATTTACTTATTTATATTTAAGTAATCTTTACAGCCAACATGAGGCTCGAACTTATGACCCTGAAATAAGAGTCACATGCTCTTCTGACTCAGCCAGCCAGGCGCCCCTCGAAAATTTATTTTTAAAAATCTATTTCATATATATATATACACACACACACACACACACACATATATATATATTTAACAATCTCTACATCATAAGGTTTTCTAAGATCCATTTTAAATATTCCGTCATACCCCAACTCTTTGTAGTTCATTCCCATGTCTGAGGACCACTACTGGCTGATTACCACTTGCTGGATGACTTTACGATGGTCTGTAGGAACTGTGTCATGCTTAGCACTCCTGTGCATTAAAGAAGGCTTACGGAACAGAAAGACGAACCATTATCCAGTCCTTCCTTACACAAGGTACCCTGTAGACATCAAGGATATCTCTCACCCAAGTCCCTTTTGGTATTTAGGAAAGACTTAGAACATGATCCGCCAGTATGATTAAATTTCCTGGAGCTCTGTAAAGCAATTCTTTTTGCTCCACTTAAAAGAAGCAAAGAGAGAAGAGAAACCAAATACAGACCTTCTTCCTCTTCCAGGTCTCAAAATTTAGTATCCTCCTTTAATTAAATAAATATGAACATCAGTACTCTCAAGTGGATTCTTGTGGATCAATAACTACTAACCAAAGTAAATTCTAATACTGCTTGAACTAATAAAACAAAAATTATGGCTTTTAACATTTAGGAAGTCTTTTTTTTTTTTTTAAAGATTTTATTTATTTATTTGAGACAGAGAGAATGAGAGAGAC